AGTGGGGGAGAAGCAGAGAGAGAGGGAGAGAGACAGAGAGAGAGAACCCCAACAGGCTCTGTGCTATCAGCATGGGGACTGATGTGGGGCTCAAATTCACAAAGTGCCAGATTGAAAACCAACAGTCAGACAATTAACTGAGCCAACCAAGCACTCCCAATTTGGTTTCCTTTTATGTATTTTTTTCTTGCCTAATTGTTCTGAATAGTTCCCGTACTGTGTGGAATGGACATGGGAACGTTGCTTTCAATACCTTATTTCTGATCCTATAGGAGGAGCTTTCAGTCTTCTCATCGATTATGTTGGAAATCAGCCTTTCACACATACATGATCTTTATTAGGATGAAGTAGTTTCCTTTGATTCTTCCTTTAGTGAGTATCTTTAATCATGAAATGGTGTACAATATGCTCACTTCCTGTCCTGTATCAATTAATCCTCTCTTTGTGATCTTTAGTCTGTAATTTGCAGTCCCAACTTGATAGTTTGCCATATGGTGAAACACCCTTGAATTTCAGGAGGAATTCCCAGCTGATTGTGTCGTAAAATGGTAAAACGTGCTTTTGATTCAGTTTGTTTTTCATTTGTTTATTTGTTTTGAGAGGGAGAGGGAAGAAGAGGACAATGGGAGGGGCAGAGAGTGAGGAGGAAAGGGGATCCCAAGCAGGTTTTTCAGTTTGCAATGAGCTGGACATGGGGCCTGATCTCACGACTGAAGTCATGACCTGAGCTGAAGTCAAGAGTCAGATGCTTCACCGACTTAGGCACCCAGGCTCCCCTATTTGCTTAGTTTTATGGTGGACTTTGCATGAATATTCCCCACACATAGTCATTCATAGTCTTCTATACTTAAAGCATCTTCCTTCAGCTTTGATAACCTGTTAAGGCTGGAATGATCAAGGGTTTTCATAATCTCCCTTCTCTTCACTCCCTAGAAATGGCTGGGGAGATTTCAAGGACTTTATCATGTGTGTCTATGAATTATTCCGTGAATTCATCTGGCATAAGCATTTTCCTTGTTGGAAATTTATTTTTATATTTATTTTTAATTAAAAAAATTTTTTAATGTTTTCATTTATTTTTGAGACAGAGACAGACAGAAAAAGACAGAGCATGAGCAGGGGAGGGGAGGAGAGAGAGGGAGGCACAGAATCCGAAGCAGGCTCAAGTCTCTGAGCTGTCAGCACAGAGCCCAATGCAGGGGTCAAACTCATGGACTGTGAGATCCTGACCTGAGCTGAAGTCAGATGCTTGCCCAAGTGAGCCACCCAGGCGCCCCACTGGGAGTTTATTTATTACAGTTTTAATCTACCTAGTAGTTGTAGATCCGTTGATTTTTTTCTTTTTTCTTCTTTTTTTTTTTGAGTGTGAGAGTCAGTAAGTGGGGGAGAAGGCAGAGGCATATAGAGAGAGAATCTTAAGCAGGCTTCTTGCTTAGGGGAGAGCCTGATATGGGGGTCCATCACATGACCCTAAGATCATGACCTGAGCCAAAATCAAGAGTTGGACGCTCAACCAATTAAGCCACCCAGGTTCCTCTTTCATTATGTTCTTTTCTCCATGATGATGTCAGGTAGGTTATACCTTTTTTTGAAATAGGTACTTTTTTTTTTGATACCTATTTGTTAGCATGTAATTATTCTTTGTGCCAATTATAATTATTTTTATATCTATATCACATGTACTGTGTCGTGTTACTTCTTCACTTCTGATTTTAGGAGAACTTCAATTATTCATCCTTACTTGATGGTGTTATAGATCTGTAATATTTTTGGGTTATTTCTGAAAACAAACTCGTCCTGTTGTTTTAT